ACACACACACACACACACACACACACACACACACACACACACACACAGAAAAAGAGAGAGAGAGAGAGAGAGAGAGAGAGAGAGAGAGAGTTAGAAAAACTTACAGCCAGGTGTCGTGGTGGCTCACACCTTTAATCTCAGCACTTGGGAGGCAGAGGCAGGTGGAGTGGATCTTTGTGAGTTTGAGGTCAGCCTGGTCTATAAAGAGAGTTCCAGTACAGCCAGGGCTGTTACACGAAGAAACCCTGTCTTGAAAAAAAAAAGTTAGAAAAACCAGATGGTAATGGATCATCTGTTGCTTGCAGTTGGCAAGCGGATGCAACAGAAGCAGCCCTGTGTCAGAATTTAGGAAAGGGCAGTGACACAAGTCACTCCACAATGTGGCTGGCACCCAGCTTTTCACCTGTCGGCTCTGAACTAGACTCCATTGACTGAGAGGCAGGGTTGTAAAGAAGGTCTGAGAGGGATGACCTCCTCTGGAAGTAATGGAATCTATATGTTGACACCCCCATTTCTTTAAAATGTGTTCTTTTAATATTCTGTTGAACAGCCGGTTCACAGATTACTTACATTGCAAGCTCGTTGACCAAAGAGTGTAGGAAGTGAATCTCACCAATCCACCTTCAAGTGTGATGTCAACTGGGCTTTGTGAACCACGGCTCACAAAGAGAAACTTAAATTGCCCGGATACAGAACCTAAGCAGCTTGACTCCCCATACTTAATCATACTGAGCCACAGCCAGGGCTCAATGACAGGATGTAGGCAGTGCTAAAAGCAACCAAGAGGAGACTGTTCCTACTTTCTTTCCCTTAAGGTAGTGTTTTTTGAAACCATACAGTGAATGAGACTTAACTTCCTAAAAAAATGTTTTTAGGTATTAATTACAACTCTTTGGTAGACTTAATTAAATCAAAACTAATGCACTACCATATTTGGCAAAAATTGACTAGGTTTTTTTTTTCTTCTATTAATATTTTTACACCAGAAAGCTTGGCTGTCAGCCTCTGCTTTGTAAAATTCTTTTTATGCCTCCACCTAGCCTGTGGGATTCTGCCACTTGAGGCAAGCATGTGTCATTACTAGGTTTTCAAGGCTGCTCTTCTTGAACAAGGTCAGTCTGTAGCAGTCCTTTTATTAATGGGCGGCATTGCTCCTGTGCAGATGCTTGCTTTCTGCTTCTAATGGTGGCTGTTACAGTGTTTTCAGTGTTTCCCCCAAGGGACAGCAGATTTGGCTCACTGTTTGTTTTCTCATCCCAGTTTTATGAAGAGCAGGAAGCCATGCATGCATTTTTTTGATGTACGCTTTCTAATAGATACTTCTTGTCTAAGAACCGAACTGTGAGTGAGCAAATTTGGAGAAGTCCAGTGATTCACTATTGCATCATTCTTTGTGACACCTCACAATGGCCAACAGATTGCCACACCCGTGTAGGGCTGTGTACACATAAGCTGCCCCGAGTGTCTTACTGTACCATATTTCAAACCTAATGAACAACGTAAAGATCTTCCGTGCATCCATTGCTTTGTTACAGAAAATAGGAATGCTTGGTTGTGCTTTTCAACACTCAAAGGTACCAGAAACACAGTAGAAGAAGCAAATACCCTGGCCCCATCCCTCTCATTTTCCTCTGTAGATAACTAACTTGAAAATTGATGCTATATATCCATATTATTTTTAACAGTTCACAATTTATTTGCAAGTTCACAAGTTTTCAGTGACACAAATTGTGTTACTGCATGTTTCTGCATGCACACCAGAATGCTCTTTAGTCAAACATCTAGAAATGGAACTGCTCAATGGCAGGTGACCTTGCTTATTTGAACCATACAACTCTGGGGTGACAATTATTTTACTCGCAACATTTAATGGCCTCTAGTTATATCTGTTTTAAAATGTGAAGTTTTTGGACTGGTGTCAGCAAAATGACTCAAAAAAGAGGTCCTCTGCTTTTTTCCCCAAAGCCCATAATTTTGGTGGCCATTATGGATAATGGTGCTTTCATACTAGCTTTGGGGTCTGGGTGGGAAGTTTTGAAAAAGCAGTAGAGCCCTGGGGCTGAAGAGAGTCACTGCGAGAAGAAAAAACTCATTCTTCCCAGTGGCAGAATTATTTCCTGTGACCCCAGCTAAGGACCCAGAAACAACTCTTCCCACTTTAGATTAGATTTGATTGCACATATACTGTTTTCAGTTCTACCAGTGAACACAAAAGTCATCTGGGACCAAGTAAGGGCCCCTTCCCCAAGGTATACAGTCTGGAAACTGTCCTGATAGTCCTGGCCACAAAGGGATTGCAGGGCAGATACATCTATCATATTGGCCTGGGGCAGGCATGTCAAGCAAACAACAGAGATCTTGAAGCATATCTTTGACACAGCTTTAGAATGCTTTAGCCATGATCTGTGTCATCTCATCTATCTAGACATACAACAAGAGACATGCTCACCCATCTCCCGAGAGAGTCCCACTAATCCCAATCCCATGGAAGATCCCATGACACATGCTTAACAGTCTACTCTAGTCTGTGAGCTGAGGTCCAAGAGCAGGTGTTCTTTCCATCCAGGAACCTAATCTTACCCATAGAGGCAGGCATGCTGACTTCAGTCCTAGCTCTGAGCTCTGAGGCAGCCCTTTGAATTGGTTTTCGAACTTCCCCAATTGTGCCTATGTGATGGCAGAAGGTGTTCAGGGACACATTGTAAGCCAGCCAAAATCCCTCCATACCCTGCAGGACCTGTGTCTGCTCATGTACCAAACAATAGAGCTGAATTTGAAGGCACCGCTGTAGACCTTGAACTTGATTCACCGCAGTGCCAATTCCACTGACCAATGTGCCAGGGACATTCTAATCCATCTAGGAATACCTTAGCCTCTAGCAACAGGCTATACAACTGAAGACCCAGCAGAAGTCAAGTTGTTTGACTAAAATTTGCTCTGGATGCATTTCTATCAGCCCGAAGACGCCACAGGATAGAGTCTTCCAGTTGAAATTACTCTGTAAACACTGAGAACGTGCAAATTTCTACGTCAGAGGCATACTGGACAAGTCTACATGGATGACAAAGAACAGAGCAAGTATGGTACCATGTGAAAAAAATAAAGTAAACGATCCCAAAGAAATTGAGATCTACAAGTTGCTTGGTTAAAAAAATAATATAAATAATGAGCTTAAAGAAACTCAGTGAAATGCTAGAGAACCCAAATGAGACAAAATTTAAAAACAAACAAACAAACAAACATACAACACAGGCAAAAAAAAAAAAAGAAAAAGAAAAGAAGGAGGAGGAGGAGGAGGAGGAGAAGAAGAAGAAGAAAGAAAGAAAGAAGAAGAAGAGGAAGAGGTTAAACAAAATAGGCACAATAAAAAATGACCAGAAAGCCTTGATGGAAACTCATACTTACAGCCTGGAATTTTCCATAGAGAGACTCAGCAACAGATTTAGTCACATGAAGAAAGTATCAGCGAGCCACAGATATCCCATTTGAGTCCTAGTGAGACGTCTCAGTGAGTGTAAGTACTTGCCTTTGCAAGCACTGTGATCTGAATTAGATCATGGGAGCCTGAAAGGCTGGAAAGAGAAAATTGTCCTCTGTCCTCTACACACACACTGTGGCATATGCACCCACACTCACTCACACTAATAATAATATATAAAAATTAAAATTGAAAAATGAATAAGAAGAAAAAGGGTAGTCCATTTGAAATTAATCAGTTGGAGTGCTAAAAAGATCACAGAGACAGGGCAACTGTATACAACCTATATTATAACATAAACCTGAATACGTGTGTGATGAGAGCTCCAAAGGAGAAAAGAGAAAGGGACAGACAAGTTACCTAAATAATTACAGATTGGTAATGTCCTGTATCCTGGCAGCAATTGGGACACTTAGACTTGTGATTTCTTCAAGGTCAAGTAATATTGACCCTCAAAATACAACCTAGAGATACAAGTCATCGAAAAGACAACAGAATTTAAAAGCAGTAAGGGAAAAATACTTGCCATGCACCACAGACTCTCAACAGGAACTAGAGAAGGGGTGATGATGAACTGGGAATTCTGAAAGGAAAACAAAGATGTCACCCAAGCAAAGCTGGAGAATCTGTCCTTCAAAAATAAGTGAAGTAGGGACTGGAGAGATGGCTCAGCAGTTAAGAACACCGGCTGCTCTTGCAAAGGACCTTGGTTCAGTTCCCAGCACTCATATAGTGGCTAGAAACTTCCTGTAATTCTAGTTGCAAGGAATCCAACACCTTCTTCTAGCCCAATCCATCTCAACCTGTGGATTGCAACCCTCACCTCCGGGTTACATGTCAGATATCCTGCATATCAGATATTTACAATGTGACTCTTATCAGCAGCAAAATTACAATTATGACGTAGGAACAAAAATAATTTTATGTTTTGGAGGTCAGCACAACATGAGGAAATGTATTAAAGGGTTGCATCATTATGAAGGTTGAGAATTACCGCTCTAGCCTCTGCGGGCTTCTGCATGGACGTGGTGCACATACATACAAGTAGGCAAAATATTAATGCACATGACATTTAAATTTTGTTAAGAAATTAGTGCAATAAACACTTTGTCAGAAACAAAGCAGAAAGTATGATCAGCACTGGTCATGACTTATAAGACCAAGCTTAAGAGAAACACAGATGAATATTCAAGTTTAAATAGCAGGGAGCTAGGTGCCAGCATGCAAACACAAAACCCACTGGTAAACACTTGGCGCTGAGCTCTGGATGCGAAAACGCTAGGAAAGGGGAGTGCAGTCAGTGTAACTGCAGTACACAAGCTAGAGGATAAGGGACCACAGTCATCATGGGTCATAAAAAAGATGCAAAATATGACGTTACTGTAAAAAGATGTCATGTTCTGCATGCCATTGAAGTTCTCCCCTTAAAACAGGCCATTTTAACTGCAATGTTTTATGTAGGCTTCACAGTTACCACACATAAAAAAGAAAACTTGAATAAATAAGAAAAGGTGAGAAAGAAATCACATCATCACAGGGCTGCAAAAATACACACACACACACACACACACACACACACACACACACACAGGCATATCCACAGATGGCCATAGAAAATAGAAAATCAAGTTGTTTGTGGCAATGTAAATGAACCCAGTGGATAATTTTCTAAATTAAATGAGCAAGGCACAGAGCATAGTCTGTGGCTTTCCGTGTGGCATGCAAAGCCTCACATTTACAGAAGCAGAAAGGAGAGTGGTGTTTACCAGTGGCTGAGGGGTGAGGGCAGCAGGGAATTGAGATGCTGTCAAATGGCCTGAGTGAGCTCGCAGACTGTGGACCATGGGGAGCCAGCATGCAGCATGTGACTGTCAGTAACCATTCTGTTTGAAATCTGTTGAGATGGTAGAAGGTAATGTTCCTTTCCCACCACACACTAAAATGACAAGTGGGAGGTTAAGAACGTGGTAATTCATTTGGTTAGGGTAATCATTTCACAATGTACACATATATCGAAGGTCATATTGTATAACTTAACATATATAAAATTTTTATTAGTTCTACCTCAAAAGGTTGAAATACCAAAATATCCCATTTTTCTTAACAGTCTTGACCTAAGAGAAAAGGCTTCAATACATCCTGCAGGGCACTGTAGAAAGTACTTACAGAAATCGGGTTTCTCATGATGCTATGGACAAGATGCCCTTGTTTTTCTGATAAGGTTGACAACCAAAATTGTTACAGGGCATAAATACATGTCAAAAGAAAGCGTTTGACCTTTAAAGTTGTTCAATTATCACTGAACATAAAATGATGAGAATAGAACATTTGTAAAAATGTGCTATACTTGTACATTGCCTGGACAAAGGGAGAGCTGGAGCCTGGAGCAGAAGCAAAGGGCTGGGAAGGGGCTTGTTTTCAGGCTTTTTAGCTCCCTAGGAGGGGACTAGTTGGTAGCAAGGATGTGAAGAGTTGGAGAGATAGACCAACCTGTCATTTAAAACCACAGCTGCATCCAATGTGGGTGAGCCAGGAAATTTTGCCAGGGGGCTTTGATACTTTGGAGTTTGTACTCACACACTTTCTCCAAAATGCTCACAAGCAGGAAATGTCTACAGATGTCTACCTGCAAAGTGAGATCTGCCTGATATGAGATTGCATGACAAGGGATGTCCTGTGCTTCTGAAGTCTGAAGCCCTTCTGTGACCGAGGCACATGTGAAGAAGCTTAGGAAATAAAGGCACGGAGATGTTCTTGGTTGTTTTCATTTGCATGTGCCTACAGTCTTGCTGATACGGCACCTGCAAATTCCTTCATTTCAGTAGTAGGCCAAAGAGCAAAGCTGTCTTTTAAAGTGTTCGCACCCTTCATCACCACTCAGCTCGTGATTTCAGTCTGGGAACATGCCAAGGTCTTCTATTAAACCACCGAGAACCAGAAAGCCATGCTTTAGTCACCACAGCGCTAGCGCCTGCCATCAGCTATGTTTAAAAATAAACCCTCTTGATCTTATGATCCTGTGATCAGGCACTTCTGGGACTTCCAGGAATGGAAGTACTTGTGTGTGGTGATAAGCTAAAGACCTAAAAACAGTGGCGCAAGCATACCATTCAGGACAGAGTTCTGATGACTATGTGACTGGGCAAGCTGAATATCTGAGATCTCTCATATGTTAGAGCTGGGTGGAGCAAAGCACACACACACACACATGCACACACACACACACACGTCTCTTCACCCACTTGTACATTATCTGCCTTTGTGTGACAGAAACAGAGATTCAGTGTTTCACCTTGTCAAATACCCACCATTTCAAAAAGTCTTTAATTTCAAAGAAAAGTCTAACAAGAGGAAACCATGGCTACTTACAGCCCGTTGTCGATAGAATTTCTTAGAGGGCTCTAATAATTTGTCCTTAACTCTTGCAGGGATGGGAAGTGAATAGTTATGTCCTTCATTTGCCCAGAATGGTGTGAAGCCTTCAGGATAAGCACACTGCCCAAGAGTAGGTGCAGGGTTAAAGCGCTTTCTAAAACAGTGACATTTTGGTTTAGAAAACATATCATAAAACAATATTCCTCGCAAATTAAGACATGAAGAATATTTCATGAGATAATCTGAGGACTGACCTAATTTGCAGAAATGTCTGTTTTCTGAGTTTTCCAAATGTGTACCAGTGTTTCTTTATAATACACTTAAGCAACTCATATGCCAAATATCTAGAACTCAGTATGAAGCCCAGGATGACCTGGAACTCTTCATTCTCCTCTCTGCCTGGACTTACCTGGTACTGGGGTTACAAGCCTCGGTCAGCATGGCCAGCTTTTTTGTTTGTTTGTTTTTATTTTAACGCTTGCCTGGAAAATGTGGTAGCGTTTCTAGCTAACTTGATTGGAGTTACTGGGGTTTCTGTAGGGGTCTAGGGGAGGGCCTAGGGGAGAGGTCTCTGCTGCAGTTGGAGCATTTAGGTGCGACACCTCCCTCATACTCCGCCCCACCTCGCAAAGCTCAGGCTGAGGGCGGTTGACAGGTAGCTCCTACCCTCTGCTCCCATTGGCTCTGCTCCCAGCGCCACGCACGCTGGTTGGCCGCTCGGCCGTTGCCGTGGAGACGCGTGCGGCTGTGGTTCCGCGTCTCTCTGAGTTTGGAGTCGGTCTTGGAGGCAGCCCTCTTGCTTGGTACAGGAGCTGTAAATCCCAGATGTGGAGAGCGGAGTGCTTCGCATTGACCCTGCCACCTGCCAAGCCCCTGCGGCCCGTGAGGACCTACTTATCGGACACTTAATATACTCTTGCTGTCTGCCCTGTGTGCACGTGCCCTTGCTGTTTACCCCGCTTAACGTGCAGGGTGCTGTCCACCCGCTTGCTCGGTCTCCTGTGGTGTACCCACTGAATGAGCTCTGACTGTGTGTTCTGTCGCATGTGCCCCTGCTGAGTGTCCAGTGGACGCGGTGCTGCCGTGTGACCGCCGCGGATGTGCCAGCTCTTAGGCCTGAGGCGGACTGCAGGTGTGTCAGCTGGAGGCGGGCAGAACCAGAACCGGGATCGTGCTGACTTTGCCCTTATAGCCTCTGCTCCCAGCGGGCGGGTCGGCAGCGCCCAGAAAGCCCGAGAACCCGGGCTCAGCAGCGCCTGGGCGACGCGGACTTACTCATAGAGCCATGAGGAACACCAGCAAGGAGGTCCAGGGCACCTCTCACCGCTATGCCCCCTGTGGTGAGTGAGGCTAGAGGAGAGGGGTGGGTGATGAAAGTTGGAAGGGTGTGTGCCTGTGCTTTTGCTGTTTCCACGTTAGGTAACAGTGCATGCTTTTCATTGATGAGGGTAGGAGCCCATTGAAATTCACTTTACAGCAAGTTATCCCTCATAACCCTCGCGCCTTGGCTCAGACTACAGACTGAGAAAGGCTCATTTTTGAGGCTTTTGCTCCTATTTTAGGCTCCGACCAAGACGAATGTTTCCCGCTTTCAGTATCTGGATCCGGGAAAGCCGAATTCAGTGAAGGTTGGTGGGTGGTGCACACCAGATCTGAAGCCGAATGGGCAAGGAAGGAAGGCATTTTCTGATGCTGTCATCGCTTTTCATGTGTCTAGAGAAGGGCTGGAGACAGAGGGAGAAAGAAGCCTGGTGCTCGGCCGGGAGAGACCAGTCGGAGCAATCTCATCTCCAGAGAGGGGAAAAGTGTGACCTTTCCACATATTCCATGCATGCTACCCTATGCCGTTGTTGGTGACAACCAACTGAGAGCTGGGGTGGGCTGTGCACGGTTCAGGAGACCAGGCCAGTCCATATCCCATCCCAGGCCCTGTAGCCTTTTTGTCCTAGGAAGTAATCTCATCTCTGTGAACCATGCCAGGTGTATTCAGCAAGACCAATGTATACTAACACATTGAACTGCTAACACTCCCCACCAGACATCATCACCCCATTTCAGAGACCAGGAAAATGAGGCACGCAGAGTTTGAAGTAAGTTGCCCTTGGAGTAAGCACGCCTGCCAAGTGGCTTTTTCTCTGAGGCTGTGCAGTCTAAAGATGGTAGCCTGTGCTCATGTGTGTATGCGAGAGAGAGAGAGAGAGAGAGAGAGAGAGAGAGAGAGAGAGAGGGATTACCTCTAGTTTGGAGGTCAGAAATTGGGACAATCTATAGTTTGGTTCACTGTCTCTTCTGGACTGTTACCTTATTCAGAAAATAAGGATGAAGCATCAAATGGGAAAGTTGTCCGGAGGAAAGCGGCCAGTCCGTGGCTGATCTGGTGTCACACAGGTTGATAAAGCTAGCATGATACCTGTTTGTTCCCTCCACCCCCTCCATGTGTGTGCTAGGTGGCAGTGGTTCATTCTCACTGATCAGGGCCCTCTGTCTCTGAGGTGCTCCCGTGTGCATGCTTACAGACACCATTAGCGTGTCCAGTGCTTGCAGTAATGAAGTGGCAGAAGATACACTGTTCTCTGTGGATTAATTAGTAATCAATACACAGGGGAAAAAAATAAAGCAAGAACCAAAGGGCTTTCCTGTAGAAGAAAAAAAAAGCAAAAAAAAAAACACAAAACAAACAAACAAACAAACAAAAAACCACAGAGCTAAGCCTGATGAGCAAAAAGCTACTAAATTCTGATTTTCGTCTCTCTGAAATCCTTTGTGCAAGTCTTCGAAAATGGATGGTGTTGGATCGGCTGATGAATATCCTTTAGGCATTTAAAAAGTTTCCAGGTGAAACGTCCTTAACTTTTAGCTAATGAGTCCAGCTTTACTTCTAAGAAGACACTGACAGTCTGAGCATTTGGCTGCAGAGAGCAGGGACTTCTTGCTTCCATGTCTGTTGCTAGTACTTTTTATTGCTGCTTCCCTGTGCCCTGAGTGAGTGATGTAACTAATCAGCTGTCCACCTACCTGTAAATGGAGACAGATCTCTTTTACACATCAGTTTGATTGACTGTGGGGCCCATTAGTTGTAGAGTCTACAGGGCAAGTTGGAGAGCAGAGGCAGAACAGAGGATGCAGATTGAGTTCAGAGTCCATGGGGAGGGAGGAGGATTCCTTCCTTCTTCATTTTTCTTAAGACTCAGCTGAGTGGAGGAGACTCATTCTGTTGTAGAGGGTCATTTGCATTGCTCTAAGTCCCCTGATTTAAGTGATTTAAGTGACAATTTGTGTTAAAAATAATGCTCCACAAGAGCAACTGGAACAACACCTGGATAAAGTCTGACACTGTGGTTGAGTCAAACAGACACCATAGCTTGCCACCACAGCACCACAAAGGACAAGGCACCGTGTTTGACTCCAAATGCCACGAGTCTGGAAAGTGCTTTGAAACACAGCTGGTATCCATGCCACAGAAATTGCATTTTTGTATTTGGTTTTTGTTTATTTTCTTTCTTACTTTTTCCAAGACTTTGTTTCCCATCTTTTCCATAGATGAGATATTTTTTCCTTCTTTGTATTTTGGCATCTGGTTGGTTTCTAATGAATATTTACCTAAAGTGCCTACAGTTTGTATGCCTGGGTTCTCTCACCTGTGTGTGTGTGTGTGTACATATGTATGTTTGTATGTATGTGTCTATGTGTGAGTCTGTATGTGTCTCTATGTGTCTGTATGTGTCTGTGTGTGTCTCTGTGTGTATGTCTCTCTCTCTGTGTGTGTCTGTGTGTGTGTGTGTGTGTGTGTGTGTGTGTGTGTGTGATCATACATGAGCACTGGTAATTCCAGGACTTTAAGACTGTGCTAACCCCTCTGTCCCTTGACAGAAGTTCCAGCTCTGTCTCCAGGGAGTTTTATAGATGGTTCCAAGTCATCCTGAAGAGTCTCCCCATGTATGGCACCAGCTCAAGGTTTAGGGAGTGTCTGCATTTCACCAGGTCATGTTCAACTCCTCTCTGTTTCTGCAGAGGGCTTATGCCATCCTGGGGAAGAAGAAGAGGGGAGTGTAAGCTGTCCACACTCCTGTCCTTGCTTCCTGCAAGCTGTCCCCTAGTTCCCTCTCTGGGATAGAAGTCATATAATCTACACTCAGCATTTCTCCCTACTCTTATCCAAGGAAGGTCTTTGGACTCTTGGACTTACATAAAGTGATTGCTCTTGCCTAGTGAATCTCCGTTTCAGAATACATCTGGGCCTCTGCTACTTCCCACTGCCCACTGTAACCTAAAGCACAGTGTTTGTGTGCAGCTGGGCTGCCATTGGGACACAGGTTTGTGTGCTGAAGGGTGTGGGAGGCAGGTACTGACTTTCAACACAGCTGTTAAACAAGTGAGGCTTTTTAGACCACACCCTGGCCTACTTCCTTCTGTTCTTCTAAAAATTGACTAACCAGTTTGATCACATTGTGTGTGATCAAATATTGGTAATTTAATATGTAAAGCTGATCAAATCCTGGCCAGTATCTGGCTTACCCATAACAGTTTAAATGATTTGGTATTTATTCAAGTCTACGTGTCTTCCCACGTCTCCCAATAGTACCAGAAATGCAGCTAAGCATTTTTCTAGGGTATGGATGGCAAGAGGGAAGGAGGTCAAGAAGGAAGGAGGGAGGGAAGAAGGGAGGGAGGGAGGGAGGGAGGGAGGGAGGGAGGGAGGGAGGGAGGGAGAGAAGGTGAGAAAAAGAGAGACGGGGGTAAGATATTTCCTAGAATTGCTCTGGAAAATTAACCGTCTTCTAGGCCATTCTGGTGGTGTCCTGGTTTATCACACATGCTCCGGAACAGACAGTTCTTTTCTTGTTTGCACTCTGTGGCATGTGATGCCCTAACAGTGTTATAAGCACAGGGATAAGACTGGCAGGCAGTAGAGGGTTTCCTGACCAGGCATCCTCCTGTACCCACCTAACAATGTGCTGGCCTTCCTCCTGTCTAGATTGGTATTACCACGTACCTGTGAAGCGCTCTGAAAAGGCTGTGGGTGCCCCTCCAGCATCCCAGATCCCGGGGCTCAATGACTTGGGAGACTCCCCAAATGGGAATTTGCCCCGTGCTCGGAGATACTGGATAAAAGAAACAGATTCGGAGTATGTGAAACTGGCGAAGCAAGGCGGTAGACCTGGTAAGCCCTGAGCTCGGAGTGACTTTGTGAGCGGGAATGGGGGGGGGGTTGTTTCTAATGTTATCCACATTAAATATAACTGTGGCATCTATATCCCTTGTTCAAACCTTTGGAAACTTGGGCTCACTGTGGAGGTTAGGCATAAGTACTCTTTGATGAAAACCAACGTTTGTAACAAGGAAGATATATTGAGTTTAATGGAAGTCACTGGTCAGAAGGTTAAGGGACTACATCCCAAATGTCTCCTTTAGGCTTTGGTCCACCCAGCTCCTCTGGCTGTCGCTGTCCCTATGTTGGATGTCACAGGTGAAACAGTGGCCAAGTCTGTGATGGAGCATTCCAAGCCTAGGCCATTCATACCACTTGATTGACTCAGCCAGGGACGGATAGGGGCTGGACCAAGGCAGCCTTGTTCTTGGATACACCTCCTTGCTCTTGGTTCTAAGAGAGTAGACAAATCTGATGGAGGCCATCAGTGACACTGCAGTGACAGTGTCTTTACCGGGCTGTGATCATGTGAGGACCAGCTTTTGTGGGCAGCAGCTGCGGCACGGAGGGAAGGGACAAGCCTGCCTGCAACACGCCACTCAACAGTGCTATAATGGTGCTAAAAGCAGTGGGTATCGGGGCAGAAGAAAAGGGCTGAGCAGGCAGGATGTGCATGGGGAGCCTGGGTTAGCAGTGTAGAGGAGTTCACACCATTCTTTCCATCTTTTTGTTTATCTGAAAACCTTAACTGCAGAAGGACTTTAAGGTGGAAAGTTGAAAGATTTCTTACTGAAATGAATAAGTCAGCCCATTTTTGTTGTTGTTGTTGTTGCTATGGGTATTATGAATTATTTTGCTATTGGAATTACCTGGCAAAAAAACAAACAAGCAAAAGCAGTTCTTACCGATCGCTGCTTTTGGACACAGTGGACAGGAGGAAGAGGGATGAGAAGAAGAAAGTTATCTGGGAGTGAAAAGACAGTTGGGAAGGAGCCTGTGCTGGGTACCTCCCTGTGTAGCTCCAAAGTTATTGATACATCCACCGAGGGTTTCCCACCTGGGAATCTGGAGGGAGCAGCTTCCCTAGCAAACAGCAGTGGGGGTGGGGCAGACCCATAGTGGTAGGCCAAGATGGAGGGGAGGATGGAGGTAGCTGATGGCTAGGGAGCCTTGTGTGCAGTCCCTGGTGACCTCAGAAGTGGAAAGATAAACCACTGAGGGAGCGTCAATGGTAACTGGCACAGATGCCAGTTCAGGACCAGGAGCTCTGAGCACACTCAAGAGGAGAGGATATGAGAGGTGCAGGGTGCATGCGGAGTGTCTCCTGCTGAGTGCCAAGCAGGATGGTCGGCTCTCAGCCTGGGCAGAGGCCACCCTAGGGAAGATGGCATGGCTCCCACTGTGGAGTGCTGAGAATGCCACATGTCCTGTGGACAGCAGGACCACATAACTCTGTTCCTTTTTCCTTGAGATTTGTTGAAGCACGTTGTCCCTGGTTCCAGGAAAGGCTCCCCAGTAGCCTACTCCTTGCCAGACTGGTATATTCACAACAGCAAGCCTCCGACAGCCCACCAGCGAGAGTGAGTATCTCTACGTCTCCCACATTTTTGTCTGTCTCTGTCTAGATATCTGGACATCTATATCTTTACATCTCTATCTTTACATCCATACATATATATCATACACATACACATATAAAAAATACTGGTGCCAGCAAAATAGTTCAGCAGGTAAAGACGCCTGCTGACCAGGCTGACAAGTTGAGTTTGGTCCCTAGGACCCACACTGCAGAAGGCAAGAGCTGACATCTGCAATTGTCCTCTGACCTCCATAGATTTACTGTGGCATGTGTTTGGCTGAACCCAAATAAATAACAATGTAATAAAAACAATTTTGGAAAAAAAAAAAAAACTCACTTTGAATCGGAAAATGACAACTATCTACTGTTGTCAGAAAGTAGGTACTGTTACAGCCCTGAGCACTACTGTGTGTATTAGCTAGTGCTCTGAGTGATGTCCCGTAAGCTGACAGGAAACTAGAATCAAGGAAATACAGAGCAGTGTCCCCTCAGGGTGTGGTTCTTTTGAGCACTTATTAGTCAGTAGCCTTGGGTTTTTCTTCTTTTCCCCACTGGTGTCTGCCTGCTCCAAAGCTTTCTTCTCATTATGGATGAAAGGTACTACACACAACTAGAACTGCACAGCATGCTCCATCTCTAAGATCATCACAGAAGAAGGGTAGCGCCATGGCCTCCTACCCTGTTACAATGTCTAACAATTGTTACCTGTAACCAAGCAAACTTGGCCCTTAGACACCTCTCTTGTTTTGGAAGGAAGCATAAACAATAATATTAGGATTTGTTTTTCTGCTTTTTAAAGACTTGCCTTTTGTTTTATTTTTTGTTTGTTTGTTTTTGGTTTTTTTTCTTGAAAGCTTGGACCAACACAGGCATCTTTCAATGCTGCTATACAGTGTCTTTTGACTGTCCCCCGGCACTGTGTAGGACTTCCTCCTCTTCCTCCTCCTCCTCCTCTTTCTCCTCCTCTTTCTTTTTCTTCTTCAAGATTCTGGTTTCTTCTGTTTGTTTTTGTACTTTATTTCAAGTTGTGTTATTTTTATTGTTATGTTAATCAGATCCCAGACTGTTTTGGGCATCAAAACAGTCGAGCTCATGATCCCTCTGTCTTTGTCTCCCTAGTGCTGAGGTAACAGGCAGCTGCCATTGGCTTTATTTTTAACACATGAAAATAAAAGAGCACATGATGCTTTTATAGACCCATGGCAAGAGAATATTAAACTCCTACCACGTTTTTACAATGAGTAGCTTGTAGGCCAGGCTTGTGGCACACAGTTTTAATCCCAGCACTTGGGAAGCAGAGGCAGGAGAATCTCTGGGAGGTCAAGGCTAGCCTGGTTTACACATTGAGTTCTAGGCCAGTCAGGGCTACATAGTGAGACCCTGTTTTTTTTTTTTTTTTAATTTTAATTTTTTTATATTAATCACAGTTTATTTACTTTGTATCCCAGCTCTAGCTCCCTCCCTCATCCCTTCCCAATCCCATCCTCCCTCCCTCATCTCCTCCCATGCCCTTCTCCAAGTCCACTGATAGGGGAGGTCCTCTTCCCCTTCCATCTGACCCTAGCCTATCAGGTCTCAGCAGGACTGGCTGCATTGTCTTCCTCTGTGGCCTGGTTTGTACTAAATTCAGAAAACAGGGGAGGAAAGGAAAAGGGGGGAGGGTAGCAGTGAGGAAAGGGGGAGGGACAGAGAGAGAAAAAGAGAGAGAGAGAGCACAAGAGAGGGAGCATGAGCAAGCACAAGAGCAGGCAAGAAAGGACAGGAGACGGAGACCCTGAAGCTGACACATTGCTATGCATTGTGGGAAGACCAGATGTGTGCTTACACACCCACACGGAAACTGGCCATCGAACAGAGCAGCAGCAGGTTCTTATTAGCATAGATGATCTGGGACAGTAAATGTTCAGTGGGCCCTTATCTCTTGGAAGGGAACAAGTAGTGAATGCTAGTCTACAAGAAATAATTATAACTCATCTGTTTTATAGGCTCCTACTGTAGTACACCACCCTGTGATTTCTTCTGTTGCTCTGAGGATCCTGGGGACTAGCTTAGAAAAGGCCTGATGTGTTTACTCAGCAGGAGAAGGCAGGGGCCTAGCTATGTCAGTAAGAAAGATGGGGAAAGAGAAGAGAGAGGGGAAGCAGAGGACTGAGAAAAATAGGGGGTGGAGAAAGGAGAGAGAATAGGGAGAAAGTGAAAAAGGAAAGCGAGGATAGAGGGAAGGAGGAGGGAAAAATAAAGAGAAAGAAAGGAGAAAGCATGAAATGGTGCCTGGCACCAGGCTTTAACTTGTTCCTGTCTGTCCTTGCAGAGTCCCTGCAGTCTCCATTCCAGATTACATGGTGTATGAAGAATTCAACCCCGATCAGGCCAACGGTAGTTATGAGTCCAGACTAGGCCCCTTTGACTTTGACATGAAAACAGTTTGGCAGAGAGAGGCTGAGGAACTCAAAAATGTGAAGAGAAAGGTAACAGTACTAGCGAGTGCGTGACCATCATTTGTTTTGCTGTTGTGACTCCACGAGTAATTAAGGGCATGCTCCTGCTGCCTTAGGCTGGCTTGCAGCCTTGGCCTAGCACTCTGAGCTCTGAGCTCTGTTTTACGTTTGAGACTACCTAAGAGGCAAACAGCCACTCTGTTGTTGTTTTGTTTTTCATTTTCTTCCTGTGTATGCTGGCTTTATAGGTAAGATTGTGTTTTACTATCTGGTATCTAAGCAGTTAACAGTTAACTTGGAGAAAATCGGCCTGACACATCGTATCTGGTACAGAGCAAGGATGTGTTTATATATGCTTAATATCCTGCTTCTGTGTAGTTCCATTTACTTAAGTCCAAATTGCCCACAGTGCTCCTTGATGATAATAATAGAAGGAAAGATGAAGTACCTTCTTCTTCACAGAGACACCCCTGGGTGTTTTATCAGTAAGGTCTTAACCTACCTGCAAAGTGAAGCCTTTTCAAAGAACTTGACCTGTCTGAGCAACTGGGCAGCCCTGAAGCAAGCCATGAATGGCAGAAAGGTTGGAGTCTCTCCACCTGTACTCTTCCTGTGGCCCATGAGAGCATAGTCAGCCCACTGCCAAGGATTCTACATCCCTGCTAGCCCCTAGGTATGAAATGAATTCTAGCACTTGAGACATCGGGATTTGTGAGTGATGACATTCATATTTAAAATAGCAGTGGTGCTTTGAGACTGAGAACAAGAGCCAGCACCATTGTCGTTTGAACAGCAAAGGAACCAGTGTGTCTTGTACTTGCTAGACCTAGCTTCTCAGTGTCTTGGGGGAAAGAGGATGCCCTCTGTTCATTTGGGGACTCGGTAGTTGAAGACCGAGATAGCACCAGCTGGCTCCAGTGTATGCTCTTCACGCTATCCCAGTGTCCAACTGTGATTCAGGCTTTGGGTCACTCATATTGAGTACTGCTAAAGGACTCTACTAAGGACCGGGCCTGTTTCCTGATGATAAGTAAGTGGCTGACGGTATGCAGCTGGACTTCGAGCAATGAATGGAAGGCTTGTCTGTTAACCAAGGTTCTAGCACACAGCTTGAGAAAATTTAAAATGCAAGATGCTGCCCCACTGTAAAATCCGACTGAGTTATTCATGTAGTAATCACTCACACAGGCTTCTGCTGACTGCAGCAAATGCCTGAAGCTGTCCTGTCCTCCACCTTCTCAATGCTAAGGAAGGAGGAAGGTGGAATTATGGACACCGGCCGACAGTGCACTAGCTCAAGTGTTACGTAACTCAAGAAGAGTTCCATTAGGGAGGGCCCCGTAGGTGTCTATTCTGCTGAACTAGGGGAGTTTTCCTCTTCTCAAGTCTTACAAAACCTTTGGACACAGGCAGAGTAGGGACTCTAATGTGAGAATCATTTCAGCACTTGGCTGTCATCCTAGACTTTGGCATTAAACCCTGTCTGTCTGTCTGTCTGTCTGTCCCGCTGCAACAGGTTCTTCTGCCTCTCAGAGACCTGCCTTCTCCACCCTAGGGAAAGATGGAATACCCATTGAATGCTCTGCTTCTGCCCTGGCTGTCACTCAGCCTGGTGTAGACACTGACGTGTCCTTAGGCTAGGTGTGTCAGTGTTCCACAGGGTGACTGGGGAAATCTTTTCATTTTTCACTTAAGGCCATTTACACAGAACACAGTTCACTTGTTACACAGTATTGATCTACATGTTTTGACAAATGCAGGCCTCATGTAAACACCATAGATGGTGAGGAACAGAACGGTTCTGTCACCTCTAAGATTTCTCAGCCCCACTGTCACCAGTCCCTCCTAGTTCTCATTTCCAGCAGTCACTGAATCTCTTTTAAGTCTTGTACCTGTTAGGCATTTGTTAGCTTGATACAAGCTAGGGTTGTCTGAGAGAAGGAACGTCAATTAAGAAAATGCTTCCTGCTGGGTGTGGTGGCACTCACCTTTAATCCCAGCACTCAAGGGGCAGAGGCAGGAGGATCTCTGTGAATTTCAGGCCAGCTTGGTCTACAAAGTGAGTCCAGGACAGTAAGAGCTGCACAGAGAAACCCTGTCTTGAGAAGCAAAACAAAACAAAACAATTGTCCCCCAAAAAAGAAAGAAAGAAAAAAGAAAACAAACAAACAAACAAAACAAAACAAAACAACAACAAAAAAACATCTCCAACTGATTGGCCTGTAGGCAAGTTTGTGAGACATTTTCTTGACTAATGGCTGAGGTGGAAGGGCCCAGACCATGGTGGGTGGTGCCATACCTGGGGGTAGTCCTGAGTTGTATGAGAATACGGACTCGGCAAGCCATAAAGAGCAAGCAGAAGACAGTCTTCCCCAGTGGCCTCTGCTTTAGTCCCTGCCTCCAGGTTTCTGCCTTGAATTCCTGTCCTGATGTCCCTCAGGGATGGACTGTGACCTGAGAATTGTAAAACGACGACGTTGCTTTTGGTCAAAGCCCTAACTAGGACCAGTCTTTAGAGCTTTTTCTTTCCTAGAATCTCAAATCAGCAGCACCAAGTTAGTGACTACAGCTGCTCCCCTTCTTCAGCCTGCCTCTACCGGGTGGTACCATGCGTCAGAATCCAGCCCCTTTGAATTGTCGAGTAATGTTCTTTGGCAGACCAGGTACTGCTATTTATTCACTCCTTTGATGGTGGGTGTTTGTTTTTTTCTCAGTTCTTGGTGACTTACAAAGCTCATGTGAACCTCACCATACAGGCATTTCTATTTGATATGGCAGGCAGACCCCTCCCTCCAGCAGGGCCCCTCAGGATATCTGGCATCCCCAACGTTCATTGACTGTTCCCCTCCTGAGCAGGTGGCCTTTTTACTTAAATGCAGAGCACACGTGGTCTTTTTTACAAGCCATCCTGTTGAATTATTATTCAGCTATTGATTATTTAATTTTAGTTTATGGTGACAGGCTGTGACCATACTGAAAGTCCAGTCCTGATATCTTTGCTGCTCTTGGAGACCTTTCTTTTGCCCTAACTCATAGATTTGCATTTCTTCATACAGGTGAAACTGCCGGCCATTAATTCCAAGAATCCTACCAAACCAGGGACCCCAGTTAGCAACAAAGACCTTGATGGGAGCAGACTGTCATTGCCTCCCATGTACGTGTCCGACTTAGGAGAATGAATGCTGTTTGTGTGAGGTTTGGGTCGGTTTTTTTCTGTCCTTTGCCCAACTGACCTGCCCCAGGCCTATCCGGAGACAACTGTGCGGATGGCAGCTCCTGCCTGCCTTGCCTACAGAGCCCTGCCCAGCCTGGCCTGAGAACTTAGCTGCACTTTTGTTTCTTCCCTAACACCAGTTTTACCCCTTTGATCACATGTCTGGTCTCCTGCATCCTGGTTTGTGGTGCAGGCTTGTGGCTACTTGTCCCTGCTTGTATACTCAGTCCTAAAACTTACTGTCACCAAAGCCTGAGCTCAGGGATCTCCACCTTGAGTGCAAGCACTCTGGCTCGGCATTCAGCCGGGTTTTTCCTCCAGATGCTGACACCTGTTGGTCTTCCAGCCGAAGAGGGAAATCCTGAAAGGCCTCTGTGCTGCCTTATTTGCCAGAAATCTAGTTTAGGAGAAAACAAACGTCATTAGTTGCTGACTGAGTCTTCAAACAGCTTCTCATCTGGTGGGGAAAGCAATGACATTAGTGACATTGTGACAGATGGGGAGAAACCCGTAGGGGAAATCCTTAATAAGGTGATTCATAAGTCAGAAACTTGTGGCTTGGGAGTGGACAAGAGTGTGCTTGTCAGCCGCCTGACTAGAAGGTTTGTACTACCGCCCTGATACTCTTCAGCGTCAATTGTGATAGGATCTGTGAGCTGAAGCAGGTGAAGGGTGACAGGAGACGGGAGAGCTATGCAATGAGTGAAAAGCTAGGAAGAGGTCATGAGATAGGAGCAGCTGTCCTAAGTAATCCACTGTTGACAAGGGGGAGGGGGTATTCTCTAGGACTTCCTCAAGAAGTACCGGTGTTCTTAAGTTACAATTGGCTAAAAAGAAAACAAAAAGGTTTGTGAAACTGGGTTTAGCATGATATCACTTGTGCATAAGGGATGCGCTGAGACCATTTTTATGCTTGAGATGGGAAAAGAGACTGACAGATGAGAGACACACAGAGAAATGGGGGTGGGGGATGGAGAAGAGGGAGATAGCAGAGCTCAGCACCACTGTCCCCTCACAAGTCACATTCCTGAACACTGCTTCCGGTTTTCCCTTTTAAGTTAATTTCTGCACACATCTCCTTTTAAGGCCTGGTCAAAAAACTGGTTCACCAACAAACTTTTCCAAACTTATCAGCAATGGTTATAAGGATGAGTGGTTACAGCAGCAGAGAGCGGATTCTGACAAGAGGACTCCAAAGACGTCCAAGACAACCTCGTCCACTGAGTCCACACAGGAGTCTGAAAGCACCCAGGACACAGAGACGCCCCAAGATCCAGGGGCACCTGAAGACTCTGCGAAGACTCCAGGTGAGGGTCACAATGACATGCATGTGTTCTGGTGATGAGGGCAAGTAGGTGGCTTTCTTATCTCCTGGGGTTTCTCCACATGAGATCTGCAGTTAGAAGTCATGCTAAAACCCTTAGCATGGGCTTAGGGTGTGGGCTAAGCATACTGTTAGTGTGTAACTTAGAGAGGCCTGGAATTTCCTTCTTTTCAAAAGCTGCCCTTAATCTTGTGTCAATCCTCCTGCTTTGGGATTTAAGGGCTATGATTAGAGACATGAGCTACCAGACCCATCTCCTTTACCCTTTAAAAAAACAAAAAAACAAAACAAAACAAACAAACAAAAAAACCCCACCACCACCACCACCACCAAAAACAAAACAGCAGTTTCCTTTTTTGTTAAGTTTCCTGAGCTCTTTATATATTTTGTATACTAATCCCTCACCAGAAAAGCTGTTTTAATTTTTTTTTCCTATTTTGTGGGCTGTACTTTTATTTTGTTGATTTCTTGTTTTGCTTTATATAAGCTGTTTAGTTTGACAACATCTCATTTGTCTGCTTTGCTGTGTTTTTTGTGTTTTGGCGACACACACACATCTGTGAAGCTGGAGAGACGTAGTTCTCAACCTTTATAATGCTGTGGCCCTTTAATACAATTCCCATGCTTTGGTGACCCCCAACCATAAAATAATTTTCATTGCAACGTCAAAGCTGTAAATTTGCTGCAATCACAAGTCATAATGTAAATATCTGATACCTAGGATACCTGATATGCGACCCCTATGGGATGGCAAGCCCACAGGTCCAGAAGTGCCGACTTAGAGGTCAATGCTTCCTGCTATGGCCAAAGACCCAAGTTCAGTCCCAGCAGCCATATCAGGCAGCTACCAGTGGCTAGCTGTAACTTCAGTTCAAAAGGACCCAATCAGCTTCCCCAGGCACCTGCAGTCATAAACTCATGCATCCACACACACAGAGATACACAGAAGCAAACTTCATAGTAATGAATAAAACATATCTCTGAAAATAAAAAAAAAAAAAAAAAAAAAAAAAAGGAAAGAAATCAATGCCAGCACCAACACTGATTTCCCCGGTAGTTTGTCCAGTGGCTCTGTAGTGACCTGTCTTTCGTTTAAGCCTGGGCTCCACACTTGGGTATGCTGTGTGAGCTGAGAGACCTCTCTCTAGGCATACTGCCTAGTTCTGTCCTTTGCACTGGCAGCAGAAGCTTTGCCTCACAGGCAGCTAAGACTCAGGAACAGAAAGGTGTAACACATTGCGTTAGGGGCAAAGCTTGAGTCTTGCGTTTCCCCACTATGATTTGTGCAGCAAGGTAGGATTGCAGGCTCAATTTGGTAGACTTTCGGGCTAATCCTTAGGAGCAGCAGAAGAAATATATGTGTTACATATTTAAGTTGATTAAAAACACAGCTCTGTCTTATCTACTTCGCACTGCAGATGCAGAAGCCTCCCCACCACCAGAGTCAACACCAGCAGAGCTCAAATAAGCCCAGAGAAGCTATCCCAGACAATCTTTCTCGTCGCTTTCTGTGGAGTGACGATGGACAGCTGTATTTGCAGGCTCCTGTTGTATTTGTTAATGTAGAGTCTTACGGGACAACTAGCCTTGAGTATAGTTGGGGTCACCATAGCAAACACAGGGTAAGTGTGGGGGTTTGTTTTTTGCATTTCTCTGGAGTGGCCTTGCTGCCTGAGGATGTCTGGAACCAGAGTCTTCCTCAAGCTTACCTCGAAAGTCCTCCACACCGAAGTGTGGAGTGTCGCTCCAAGACTCTGAAAGGGAAGAAACGCACAAGCTGCAGCTTTTTCCTGCGTTTGGTTCCATAATCTTTATAGAAACAATTTCCCATTACACAGAAATGACTAATTCCAGAGCTTTCTGATGTAATTTGCCGTAACAAAGTTATATTATGCCTTAAAGCATTATAACATTAGCTCATTTTTTTCCTAATAGTTTGAACACAAACTGAAGCCCAAAATACTAAATATTTATTATTTTATATACTTTAGGTAAAAAAAAAAAATCATATATATCTCTAATCTCAATTAGTCTGTTTTAATAGGCCTCAAAGAAATGTTTTAGTAATCAGACCGAATGCTCTTGTTTTATAAATGTCATTGTTGTTTCTATGTTAGTAATTAACATTAAAATATTTTATATTTTATTCATCAATAAAACAGTAATATTATCAGGAAAAGTTTCTAGAAAACCAAATAAGGTCAGTACTTTAGTGTCATTCCTGGAACTAACTTATCATGCATTTGCTTAGTTAAAGTTGAAATTTTAAATAGGTTCTTTAACTGAAATATTAAATTGAACACTTACATCTCTATTGCTACTATGGGAAATATATATATACTATACAAAAATATAAGTAACTATACGTATTCAATAAAAATAATATATCACTACAATGCAGTTTCTGCTCCCTTTTTTTGTTTTCTTTCTCTCCTCTTTCCCTTGCCTATTTTGCTACCTTGTTTCTAAACATTCCCAACTATCTGAAAGGTGATTAAGGAACACATATCAATAGTACAGAAGTCTTTAATTTCTATTAATGTTATTAAAGTAACAGACAACTATGGCTTGTGCAAAGTAAAGACACAATTTGGAGTAAAAACTGGCAAACAAATCCTTCTTAGTCACAGAGTAGCCAGGTTAAGTCCTATAGGTAACTCTCGGGTTGGTTAATGCAGCTTTCACGGTTTGGGTGTAAAATGCTCCCCCACAACAAGACTGTACCTTTAGATACTTAGTCTCCAGAGTTCAAAGTGCTGTTCTTAGAGGCTGTGGAACCTTCAGTGGGTCAGGCACAGCTGGAGAAAGTGGGTCACTGAGGGTGGGTCCTAGTATCAAGATTTATTTATTCATGATTTATATAGCATTCTGCTTCCATGTGTGCCTGCTCAACAGGAGAGGGCACCAGATCTCACTGTAGATGGTTATGAGCCACCATGTGGTTACTGGGAATTGAACTCAGGACTTTTAGAAGAACAGCCAGGGCTCTTAACCTCTGAGCTATCTCTCCAGCCTCCCAGGAGGGGGGTCTTAGTATTTTAAAGTCTTCTTTCCTATTTTCTCTACTTTCTGTTCCGTTGAGAGGTAAGTGGTTCCTGTATACTCTGGCCACTATGGAGCGGCTACCATGCCTTTCCTATTGTGAGGGATAGATGCTCCTCACATAGTGAATTAAAAAGAAAGCACAAACATCCTTCCCAGGGCTGGGGTCATGGCTCACTATTGTGGATGCAAACATGTTTTTGTTTTGATCCCAGGTGTAGGATATGGGACTTAATTCAGATTGTCCACAGCAGCAAAATATTTGCCTCATGCAGGCTCTGAGAGGGGCTCTTTGCCAGCTGCAGATAGTTTAATTCTGAGGACTCTGGAAAGGGAATAAAGGCCAGAGCCCAGAAAAAGAAGGAGCTCTGAGAGAGAAGAAGGCTGCTGGTGCCCCCACTCCCATTCCTCCTGGTTGTTGATGATGCACTTTGAAGAAGTTGGAGATATGCTGAAATAAAGGTTGGGCTTGCCTCAAGAAACCTGATGACCCTAACCAACAGGAAGTAGTCAAAGAGAACTCTGCCCCCTGACCCCACTAACCTTCTTTCTCTTGAAAGGGTTAGACTAACTTTGTAACCTGTATGTCTTCTAAAGCCTATAGTTTTGAGTTTTAGGTCCAGGTTAAGCTAAAGCCTCTTAGTACCTTTCCAGAGAATGGAGAAATGTGACCCTATCTGTGAGGACAGATATAAAAAAGTAAGCAAGCAATGACCTTCACTCAGCAAAAAGAATGACCAGACCCTTGTCTTTGAGATAATGTTTCTTAGTAACCAACCCAGATGGCATCAATCCTTTTTCTGAGTAGCTCCTGACCTCCAGCCAAAAGCCTGCAGTCCTGATCTTCAAGGATGAGCTAACCACCCCCACCTTCAATTGCAGCTGCATCCACACTTGGCAGGACTGGCCAAGCTTGAGCACTTAAGACTAACCAATTATCTTACTTTATAGCTTCCTCATCCAATCCTAAATTGCCAAAACTGCAACTTCAAATTTCCTGCACTTTTTCTTTTAAAAACCTAAAGGCCTTTGTCTCCTGGTGCCACTCTTTGCTGACTGGCAGGGGTGACCCCATTGCACAATGGTTAAATTAAACCTTTTGCTTTTGCATCGAGTCGTGGTCTGTGGGAGTTTCTGGGAAGGGTGCAATCTTGAACTCCTGAGCTGTGAGACCCCAGGTCTTACACTCTTACCTGGTATTGGGGTGTTGGAAGGAATTGGGGTGGAGAAGGGGAAAAGAGACATAAGAAACCAAAATAAAACAGTATAAAGAGTAATGCTTACAGCTCACTTGGTAAAGTGCTAGTCACACAAGCACCCTAGGATACATGTAAAAAGCTGGATATGATATCAAGCAGCCAACATCTTTAATCCCAGTACTTAGGAGGCAGAGGCAGGATGATCTTTGTGATTTTTAAGGGTAACCTGGTCTACATAGTGAATTTTAGGCCAGCCAGAGCCAAATATTTAGACCCTGTCTCAGGAAAACAAAACAAAACCCTGGGCATTGTGCACTTGCTCGTAATTCCAGTGCTCAGGAGGCAAGGACAAGCAGATCCCTGGAGCCTGTTAGCTAGCCTGGACTAATCAGGAGAGGCCTAATCCTAGTGAGGGAGCCTGGAAAGGCAAGGTCTGGGTCAGGTGGGACTGCAGAGATGGCTCCGTGGTTAAGAGCCCTTGATTTTACGGAAGATTTGAGATCAGCTCCCCAAATCCATCTCTGGTGTCTCACAACAACTTGTGACCCTACCTCCAACCTCCTCGTCTAGCCTCTGTGAGAGCACACAGACACACACACACACACATTTTATTTCGAAAAAAAAAAAAATTAAAAAAAAACAACGAAACAAGGTGGAGGCTCCTGATGAATGACTCTCACGGCTGACCTTTGGCCTCCACATGCATGCACACAAATGTCCACTGTCTTATCGAGGGTTTCATTGCCATGACCATGGCAACTCTTGCAGAGGAAAACATTAATTGGGGCTGGCTTTACCCATCAGTGTGATGGGAAGCACGGAAGCATGCAGGCAGACGTGGGGCTGGGGGAGCTGAGAGTTCTACATGTTGATCCACAGGCGGTAGAAGGAGACTGGATGTGTTTCACATTGGGTATAGACTGAGCATTTAGGACCTCGAAGGCCCATCTCCACAGTGACACACTTCCTCTAACAAAGCTACACCTCCTCCAACAAGGCCACATCTCCCAGTAGTGCCAATCTCTATGGCCAGGCATTCACACACATGAGTCTATGGGGGACATACCTATTCAAACCACTGCATTTACCTACAAACACAAACGTATGCACATACATACAAACTTTTACTTTCCTTAAGTTGCTTCTGGCCAAGGAGTCATTTGTCCACAGCAATGAGAAAAGCAAATAATAAAGTAGCATACAGATTACAAAAATTGAAAACTGACAATTCCATCTAGTTGTTTTGAAGTAAATTACTTTCCTCTGAAAACTAAAACTATTAGAAGTCAAAACAAAACAAGTCAGTTAAAACTTGCAAGCAACTTTAATGTTTAGTGCATAGCACCCTTGTGCATTGGTTACTTTTCTGTTTTGTCACTGTAATAAAATACATGAGCAAAAGCAATTAATGGAAGGAAGAGTTTGTTTTGACTTACGGTTCCAGAAGATAAGAGTCCAACATGGCAGGGAAGGGTAGAAACAAGTGTCAGCAAGGTGCCAGGAACTGGAAGCCAGGAGCTCGTATCTTGACATGAGGCTGAGTGAACAGCAAATGAGGTGAGACTGAAAGCCTAACGCCTTCGGCCAGTGATGTACTTCTCCAGCAAGGCTGCTCTTTACCGGTTAACTCTCCAGACAGTGACATCAACTGGGAACCAAGTGCTTAAATACCAGAGCCTAGGAGAATAATTCTCACTCAAAACACACCACGCATGGTGTATGCACAGATACCCACATTCTCTGCTCAAGTTCTGGTGCTTCTGTGGACTGCATCTAGCCATCGCAGCTCACCACTGCTGTTCGAGTTGGGGCATGTCTTGACATTTTCGGGGCTCCTGTTTCTAATATACCAACATGGATCTAAAGAACGTTATTATGGTTGGTTTTAACTCGCTACAAATTAGGACCACCCAAGCGGGGAGCCTCCTCTGAAGAACTGTCCCCATTCATCACTTGGAAAGACCCACTCTGTGGATGGCCCCCTCCCGTGGGAGCCCAGATAAGAAAGGGTGTTTCAGAAGGAAGTTTGTTCTTGTATTTTTCTGACTTGGCCTTCCTTCCCTCTTACCGCCCACTTGTTCTGCCCTGTTGCTGCTGACTCCTTCACTGGCCGCAGAACCAGTGCTCCCAAGCTGTCACCCAGGGATGGGGACCTGCCGCTCTCTAGGAGCTTCCTGTCCTGTTGGAACCAGCCTGGGGACACTGCAGCATGACGCTTTGTGCACTGAGGGATTACTGGCTGTGGCCTCCAGTGGGAGACAGTTCTTCGGGAACTATTCTACCTATGGATACACTCAGCCTCAAGGGCCAAATAACTATAGAGTTCTTTGTATCTCGGATGTGATTTGGCCATTATTACTGTTTTAAAACTCGCCTAATACATACACACATACATATATATTTACTTGCATGAGTACACCCATTCCCTCTGTTCTGTTCCTCTAGAGAACCCTGACTAAATCCGGCAAGCAGAGCATGAGAATTAGAGGAGAGGAAAAAGGAGAGAGAACACGTTTGAATGCAGAGCACTGCCAACAATATTCTGTAATGCATTAAAGAGAAGAAATAAAATTCAAGATCAGGATGGAGAGCAACAGTGTGAGGCTAGGACTCGGGGTGCAGTGCCAAAAATACTCATTAAACTGCAGGAGAGACGACTCGTGGGTTAAGAGTTCCTACTGCTCTTTCAGAGGACTCAGCATTCACA